GTTTGATTTTCCTGGTATCATTTTAACATGTACTTATTGGAATTAACATGAAATTGGATGTTTAGCAATTAGCATGGTATTTTTTCCTTCTAAATATTATCCAAGTGATTCATAAACATACCTTGTAAGCAATTTCAACAATGCAGAAGTGGAGAGTGTCAAAAGGGGGTACAATGGCATTTTGTTCTGTTTTGGTTTGACATGGTCTCACATAGCCCAGGCTGGTATCAAACTTGGATATATAGCCAAGGATGATCTCAAACTTCTGATCCTCCTGCCTCAACCTCTGGGGTCCTGGGATTACAAGTGTTCACACCACCCTTGGCTTATCCCCTGGCTGGAGATCAAGGTCAGGCATATTAGTTATTTTTCTTGTTGCTGTGTCAAAACACCTGACAAAAAGCAACTTAAGGGTTGGCTTGGGATCAGTTCTATGTAGGGTTTTTGTTTGAGACAGGGTCTCCCCGTAGCCCCAGATGGCCTGGAACTTGCTATCCACCTGCCTCTACCTCCTGAGTGCTGGGATTAAAACTGTGTGCCACCATTCACAGCTGTGGCCTCATAGTTTGAGGGGACAGCCCATCCTGGCAGGGAAGTCAAGGCGGCAGGAATATGAAGCAGCTGGTCACGTCCTGTCCCAGTCAGGAAGTAGGGAGTGATGAGTGCTGGTGCTCAGCTCATCTTTTTATTCAGTCCAGGCCCCCAGCCCAGGAAATGGTGCTGCCCAGTGTTGCTCCCTCAAAAATAATAATAATAATAATAATAATAATCCCAAAGCCATTAAGTCTAGGGTATGTCACCCTATGTACAGCTAAAGGGAGGGGGGAGGATCAGCTAAGCTACCCATTGCCCCTACCCCTTCTACCCTGCTTACCCATATGCTCTCCCCACATCCCTGGAAGGGTCCCTAAACTCCCAAGACTTGAAATGGCAAAAATAGGGGCTGAAGAGATGGCTCAGCAGTTAAGAGCATTGACTGCTCTTGCAGAGGACCCGGGTTCGACTCCCAGCACCCACATAGCTGCTACAAACCATCCTTGACTCCAGTTCCAGGGGAATCCGACATCCACTTCTGACCTCCACAGCATTGCACAACACAGGTGCACTCACATACATGCAGGCAATATACTCTATTTTATTTACACACATAAAATTAAAATATATATTTTTTAATTTTATTATTTTTTTATGTGTACACGTGTATTGCCAGCATGTAGGTAAGTGCACTCAAGTCGTGCAATGCCTGCGGAGGACAGAAGAGGCTGTCAGATCCTCTGGGACTGGAGTTATGGACAGTTGTTAGCTGCCATGTGGGTGCTGGGATGCAAACCTGGGTCTTCTGTAAGAACAGTGTTCTTAATTACTGAGCCAACTCTCCAGCCCCCCAAAAATAAGTATTTTTTTTAAATGGCAAAAATATCCTGGAGTTTCTTCTACCCTAAAGTGAGCATGCGACCTCTGGTGGCAAGAAAAGGTACTGCTAAGCAGCACATAATCCACGCGCAGACGTAGTTTCCTGGACACAGCTAAACTTTGGGTATAAACTTTGTTATTTTCTTCAGTGCTGGGGAAAGAATTCAATGCCTTGTGCATGCTCAGGAAGTGTTGAATCACTGAGCTATATCCTCGGTCTTTTTTTTTTAATGTGTATGAGTGTATTGCCTGCATGTAAGTGCACCTGTGTCGTGTAATGCCTTGGAGGTCAAAAGAGGTCTTCAGATTCCCCTAGAACTGGAGTTAAAGACAGTTCATAGCCGCCATGTGGGTGCTGGGAATCGAACCCAGGTCCTCTGCAAGAGCAGTCAGTGCTCTTAACTGCTGAGCCAGCTCTCCAGCCCCCCCCCCTTTTGAGACAGAATCTCACTGATCTCCCTCCATCTTGTAATCCTCCTGCTTCAGCCTCTCCAGAGCTGTAGTTACAGACATGTGTCACCATACCTGGGCCAACAAATAAACTTTAAATCCTGAACCTTGCCTGCTGTCATAAACAGTCACAACACAAACTCACACAGACCGAGTCAAACGTGTACACAGTCTCAAAAGATAGAAGCACATGCACAGTCAGGCATGGTGGTTCATACCTTTAATCCCAGCACTCAGGAGGCAAGGCACATGAATTTCTGAGTTCAAGGCCAGCCTAGTCTACATAGCAAGTCCCAGGACTGCGGTTGCATAGTGAGACCCTATCTCAAAAGAAATAAAGTGTGTGAGGGGAGAGCTTGAGAGCTGGCTCAACAGTTAAGAGCTTGCAGAGACCCAGGTCTGGTTCCTAGCACCCACATAGTGGCTAACAACTGTAACTCCAGTTCCAAGGGATCTGATGCCCTCTTCTGGCCTCTGTGGACACTACATGACAGGAGTGCACTTAGATCCATGCAGGCTAAACACTTCTACACATAAAATAGAAATATATATATATTTTTTTAATAAAAAAAAATGCTTAAAGATGTTAATTTAGGGCTGACAAGATGGCACAGTGAGTGAGGGTGTCTGCCATACAAACTTGAGGACCTGAATTCAATCCCAGGGTCCTACAGTGGAAGGAGAGAACCTGCTCCCAAAAGCTATCTTCTGACTTCCACACATGGCATGACACATGTGCACATGCAAGCCCATGCTTGTATACACACAATAATAACTAGAAAGAGGTTGATTCCACAGGGTCCTCAGGACAGGTTAGGGGCTGTCATTGCCTTACTGAGGCCCCTGATAGGAGGTGATCAGGAAAATCTGAATGACTGTGACCAGCAGGTAAGTCAGGTCTAGAAAGGAATCTTGAGGAGACTGTGCCCTTCCCAGATGCCCATGCAGGGAGCTCCAGAAGGGCAGCTTTCCTGAGTCGCTCAGGCTGAGGTGGGCAGCAGACTTTGAGTCATCCCTGATTCTGTAAGTAATCCCCCACCCATGCTCCTGTCAGTGACCCCTCACCAAGAAAACTTACTGGTTCACCAAGTTGGACTTCGTTTCTTTGGCCTGTCATCATCATCAGTGCCTGGTCTCAGGTAAGTAGACATTTGTTCCTGTTTCTCCAGGAAAAGTTAACACAATACAAAGGTCACGTTCTGCTATAAAACCAGTTCAAGGCCAGCCTGGGTTACATGAGACCTTGTCTCAAAAAACAAAAAGTGATGGAAAATTAGTTTCTTTTCAAATCATTAAATAAAATGTTGAGCCAGTAATTAAGAGAAACGCAGATTTGGCAGCATGCTAAAGCTCAGATCCACAGTCCCTTAGTTGATATCTTTGGGGACCAGTACATTTCAGAACTCAGTGCTGCTTCTGCTTTTAGAAAGGTAATTCAGAACCTATTATGCAAACCACCAGAGGCTTGAGGCAGGCACTGCCCACCTCCCCATCAGACATGGTAATGTTTTTGCAGCAAAATGTGTAAATGTTGAAAAGGATAGCCATACTGAAAAGGATAAATTTTAAAAAATGCAAACAGCTTATATGAGTTGATCTGTCACCATGTGAGATTGGGCAAAACTACTCACCTCCCAAAAAAATGTTTAGCGCTGTCACAGCCAGTCAGAATTCAGAATTAACAAGCTGGGCATGATGGAACACATCTGTAATCTCAGCATTTCAATGGTTGAAGGAGGATTGCTGAGAATACTGGTCAGTTTGAGCTACATAGTGAGACCTTCTCTCAAAAACAAAGGCTAGGCTCAGCATAACACCTGCCTAGAATCCCCCAGTGAGGGGCTGGGGGTGTGGCTCAGTGGTAGAGCCCCTGCCTAGAATCTCCCAGTGAGGGGCTGGGGGTGTGGCTCAGTGGTAGAGCACCTGCCTAGAATCCCCCAGTGAGGGGCTGGGGTGTGGCTCAGTGGTAGAGCATCTGCCTAGAATCTCCCAGTGAGGGGCTGGAGCCATGACTCAGTGGTAGAGCACCTGCCTAGAATCACAAAGTGAGGGAGCCCTCCGTGGTAGAGCACTACAGAGACAGGAGATACAGAGGCAAAGTGACAATGTGGAGACACAAAGATGGAGACAGAATGAGAAAGGCTGGGGGCAATGGGGCTGGAAGAAAACGACAGCTGAAAGGGAGGCCAGTTATGAACAGAGAGGACCCTCCCCCTGACTACTTGCTGGTGTCTAAATGCAAACTGTGCTATTCTATGGCTGAAGGGCAGTGGTGACACAGGACAGGGTGACACTGCTCTCAGGTTTGGACCACTAGCTTCATTCTCTGAGCAACTTTGTCCTACCACCTTCATTTTACAGGACCAGAGCAGTTAAGCAATTTGCTCTGCATCACCCTATGTGGAATGCCTTCCGGACAGAGGTGAGCTGGTAGAGCAGCTGATACTCTCCCAGTTCACAGCCAGGCGGTCCATCTGACAAGATGCTGGGCCACAGGTTCCTGAGATGGTGTCCAGTGCAGGCAGTAGGTTACACAGGAAGACCCCTTCCAGCAGTGGGGTAGCAGGGCCTCAGTCGTGAGTGACAGAAAATGGTACTCCATCGCTTGACTTCATCAGAAGCTACATGAGCTTCTCAGCCTGGGCAACAGGAACGTGCAGGGAGGACAAATCCACCTCCAGTTCAGCAACTTGGCCTGTACTTCCCAAAGAACCAGACGCGCACCCAACCCTTCCCCCACATACATCCCGCCTTCATCTTTCTGACCCCAAGAACTGCTAAAAGCTCTCTGGGAGCCCGGGTGATTCAGCCTCGATCCCTGCCACGATAGCTGTACTAACAGCAATCCGGGCACACCTGATTGTCTCTGTGCTGCAACGGAGCCGGTGTCCTCTGCTCCAGACATCCTGAAAACTGGAAAGTCCTTCACACTACCTGACCTTCAACGGCCCTGATACTAACAAACCTCTTCTCTCCAACATAATCCAGAAATGACATGCAAGCGATGAAGAAAAGGGCCTTCTAAGGAAGACAGCCCAGCCAGGGGGACACAATGTGAGAGACAATGGCCAGACCCCAGGAAGGATTTCTCAGGCGGGTAGGCAGGGTTGCAGACAACACGACAGACCAAGCCAGCGGCAGCTGAGGCTGGAGTTTATTGCAGATGGATGCGCACAGTCCAGGAGAGGAGTGGGGTGAGCTGAGGGTCAGGGCCCTCGATCAGGATGGCGTGGGGCGAAGAGGCCCGGCCGGACCGCAGAGGCTACGCGGGGCGAGGCCCCAGCCCCAGCCCCGGCCCATTCTTCAGAGTGCCCGCTCTGGGCCCAGCCGGGACAGAACGGGACGGGACAGAGCGGGGACCCCGGGCTCCAGCGGCAGACGATCGGGTGGGAGGAAGGGAGGTTACCCGGGCGCGCGGCCCGCGGAGGCCTGCGGCGTCGCTCCTGGCGGCGGGCGGCTGTGGCGGCGGCTCCGCGGCAGTCCCAGCAAGGGTCTTGGCCCGCCGGGGGCGCCCAGTAGGCAGGGGGCGGCGGGCGGAGGGGCAGGAGGCGCGCCTCGGGCGCACGGAGGGCCTGGCGCGCTGGGCTGGGGACCGGCGGGGCTCGCAGGAGGCCGCGTGGGGACCCAGATGAGACCGTAGTACACGGCGAGCAGCACGGCGGCCAGCGACACGCATAAGAAGTAGGCGCACACCGGGGCCAGGCGCAGCCAGCGGCCGCGCGGACCCTCACTCAGCCCCGCGCTACCGGGGCTCTCGCCGCCGCCGCCCACGCAGCTCGTGCCCCTCATCGCGCTGCCCACTCCACCAGCGCCGCGGACCACGCAGGCCCCGCCCATGCCTGGGGCGCTCCGCCCCTCCCTGAACCTCTCAACTCAGGCCCCTCCCCTCCCGGACCCCTGGGCATAGACCCCACGCCCTATTCCAGGGCAGGCCCCGCCCCTCATTGACTCCAGGACCACTCAGCACAGACCCCGCCCCTTCCAAGACCGCCCCACGAAGGTCCCGTCCCCTTCCACTAAGGGACCACCCGATGCAGGCCCAGCCCCGGCCCCGTATTCTGCCTGGTCCGGTCCTTAGTCCACCTCAGCCAGTGTTTCCCTGGCCCGCCCCCTCCTGGGACATCACCCTGGCAGCTGGGACCCTCGCAGCCGTGCGGTCCCAGTTCCCGGCCCCGTATTCTGCCTGGTCCACTGCCCTCTCTACCCAACGAACTCCAGCACAGGGCCTGGCCCTTCAGCTCTCGCGCTCCAACCTCGTCTGGACCCTACCTTTTCCCTCACCCACCGACTCAACACCGCAAGCTGGTCACACCCTGCCCACCGGTGGCCAGGCCCCAGCACCTCTTGGGGACCCCCTAAAGCAGCTCAGGCAGGGCTCACTGGCCCCACACGCGTACTAGCTTCGCCCTAGCAGCACCCCCTGGGTGCCCTCCCGGGCACCTAGCGGTCCAGCCTGCACTCGCTGCAGGTGTCCGAGGGCTTTCAGGCTCAGAGGATGCTGTAGCACCCCTCACCCCGGCCAGACTCCTGTCCCCAGCAATCCTGGCACCAGTTTAGCCACCCCCTCCCTAGAGCCCTGGGGTCCAAGTGGGCTGAGGGGAGGCCCACCCAGCCTGGAGGGCCAGGGAATCCCCGTCCAGTGCCCCATCCCCTCCCAGGAGCGTCTTCAGGAATTCGGGGAGGCCTGCGGGAGGGGGAGGAGAGGTGTTAGGACAGCGCAGAGTCCCTTGCCCCACCTCTTCCACCATGGAAAAGCCCACCAAGCACTGCAGCCCAGCCTGTCCCTGCCAGAGACAGTTCAAAGGTTAGCGGAAGCCCTGCGTTTAATTCAAGTCCTCCACAGAGTCCGAGGCAGGTAGTGCACAGGGAGATGCAGCCCAGGGCTGCCACCTGGGTCTCCACCCGGGCGCCTGGAGTCCCGCATGGGTGGGCCTGCGGAGTCCTCACCAAACCTAAAGCCCCGTCAGTGACCTGGCTCTTACACACACACACACACACACACACACACACACACGTGTCTACACACACACACACACACGTGTCTCCTGGCCCTAGTGGCAGAAGCAGAGGAGCGAGGCGGAAGGTTAGTGCAGAAGGCCCCGGTCCTGCAGGCACGGTCAGCAAGCAGCCCCCGGCGGCGGAGCAGCCGCCACCACCTTGCAGAAACGCACCCTCTGGAAGTCCGTGATCTCCAACGTCTCCTGGCCCTCGGGGCCGGCTTCTAGGGAGAGAAGGAGCAGTCAGCGGTCCCCCATCCCAGCACACCCTTCCGCATCCCAGTCGAGCCTGCCTGCAGCAAGGCCTCCGGCCGACTCGACCCTCAGTGGACCCTTCCCCCAGAACAACTCCGTCTACAACTAGGAAGCACCGGTGTAGCGACATTAAGGCTACCCCTCCCCGACCCCAACTCTGTCCTTCCGGACCCCAGCCTCTACCCCCACCACTAATTAGCCCAGCCTGGGCTCATCTCCACATCCCACTGCGGGGAAATGGGGAGGGAAACTCTGCAGGGCGGATGGAGGCTGCCCCAAAACTAACCCCGCCCGCAGATAAACTCAACAGTCTGCTTCAACCCTGCTCTTACCTGAACCAGTTTTTCTCTTAAAGATCTCCCTAGTCAGAATTGGCCTGGGACGTTTCAGATTTCTAATCCAGCCTTCAGGCCCACCCCTAAACCTAGCCCCACCCCCTTACCTTTATGGAGCTTCTCCTGAGCCTAGCTTTCTAGTGTCCAATACTTGCCCACCGTCCCATACCCCCCCCATACCCCCCCATCCACCCAGCGCTATTCACAGTTTCTATTGGATGGAACCTTAAAGCTCACCCTCTGCACTACCTCAGACACTGACTGGCCTACCCTGACGTGGGGCACCACTGCCATCTCATGCCCAGGTCCCCCTGATACCCGGAAAGGCCCCATCCATCCTCTGTCCCCAAGCCCTTCTCCCAGGCCCCTGGAAGACGGGCAGGGCCCCCTCCACCTGCCTCTTGCTCCCCACCTGGAGATGCCTCAGACCCCTCCTCTTCAGACTTCGGGGCTCCTGCAAGGCTGGGCCCACTCTCCCGAGAGGCAGGGGCTGACTGGTCACCTCCTGGGGAAGGGGAGGCTCAGTCAAGCCCTCCCTTTCCAAACATCCCACAAGGGGAGAGGGGGCTCAAGGACACAGTGGGGGTGTCATCATTTAAGGAAGTGAACATTTTATTGGAGAGGGGCTCTGAACCAGCAGGAACAGGCTCTGGGAGTGTGGCTGAGGGCATGGAGCCGGCACCAACTGCCCTTCCCAGACACAGGGGTTGTGGGGCAAAAGGGGTGAGAGAGTGGGGGTGTCGGCACTGCCACACCGTTGTGCACACACACAGCCAGCCAGCTTCATGCATTCCCAAAAGGCCAGGCCTCACCCCCAGAGTGGGCATCAGGTGGGAGGGCAGAGCCCAGAGAATTCAGCTCCATCTCCTCACCCCAGTCGGACACAGGTTGGTGGCCCCCGGTGGGCGAAAAGGGGCTGGAAGGTGCAGCTGGGGCCGGGGACAGCGGCTCCCGGGGTCGGGCAGGTGCAGGGTCCACCTGCTCACAGGTAGGTTTCCCAGCAGGCTCAGCCTCTGGAGACTGGTGATCCAAGGCTGCTTCCTTCTGCTCCTTGGCACCCTCTTCTTCCTCCTCAATCTCATCCTCATCCTCAGTGATGTCTTCACTCACATCCTCCCATTCTTCATCCTCCTCATCCTCTTCCTCCTCTTCTTCCCCTTCCCCCTCTTCTTCCCCCTCATCTTCCTCCCCCTCCTCCTCAGGAGGCCGGTGGGCAGGGACTGGGGTCTCAGGAGGCTTCTGGGAACACAGGCAGGTCAGGGAAATGTTTGGGACACGGACACACAAACACAGACACACAGACACACACACACACACACACTCTGCCTTCCACTCTGCCCTGCCTTACCTGCGTGGGGGTCTCCTCCTCTAGGGACATGGACCTTGAGGCCTCAGGGGCTGGGGACACTGCCTCATCTTTTGTCTCCCAGCGGTCATCATGGTCACTGCAGGGGACGGAGCACAGAGGAAGGCCTAGGTAGTTAGGAGGAAGGCTCTTTGTTCCCATTCCTCCCAGAAGATGCAGCATGCTGTGCTAAGGGACCCATGGACCTGTCCCCAGCTGTCAGGCAGGAGCAATGGGAAGGCCAAGTAGCAGAGACAGAGATGGGTGAGAGAAGGGGACAGGTGAGTTATCTGAGAAGCAGAAGGCCAAGACGGCCCAGTGTCCCACATATTCAAGCCAGAGAGCTCAGGACACCAACACAAAATTAGGGAGGGAATGTGCGATGGGAAAGGCACCCCACCTGTAGGCACGGGGGGCCACCTTGGCCTGGGGTCGGCTGTTCTTTCTCCTCCTGCGGCTGTTGACCTCTGCTTTATGCTTCGAAAGGAACTCTCCAAAAGTGGGGGGCTTAGGAGGCCGGGCCCAGGCCTGATCTTCTGCAACAGAACCCAGATCCAAGAAGGTGTCAGGGGAGGGGGACACAGCATACACCACTCACCCCAGCACTGCCTCACCCCAGCCAAGACACTAACCATAGCGGTGGGATGGTTCGTGGGTGGGGGCTGGGCCATCCTTGAACCTAGGAAAAGACAGCAAGGTAAGCAACAGCTGGGGGAGCTCAGAAGAGAAAGAGAAAGCAGGAGATGGAGGCAGGGTCAGGATAGAGCAGCAAAACAGTCAACCCAGAGGGACCACTGGTTAGAATGAGTCGAGATGGAGTGATGGAAGCAAGGCAAACAAACCTGGCACATCCTACGTGACAAAACCAGACAAAGATGCAGAATCTGGCCCCCAAAATAAACACAAGGAGAACAGGACATGATAGCACATACCTGAACCCCAGCCCTTGGGAAGCTAAGGCAAGAGGATGCTTCAAGTCTGGTCAGCTTGACCTACACACTGAGTACCAGGCCAGTGAGAGCTACATAGTACAACCATGTCTCAAACAAACAAAAACCACAGTGTGGCTAGGCCCAGCAAGATGGCTAGTGGGTAAAGGTGCTTGCTGCCAAGCCTGATGACCTGATTTAAACCTCAGGGACCCACAGGGTGGAAAGAGAGACCAGACTCCTGAAAACTGTACTCTGATCTCTAATGTGTATACACACATACACACAATAAAAGTAAAAAAAAAGTGAGTTGGTTACCACAGTCCCTTACTAAGTACATGCTCCCAGTTCCCTATGTCTGCAGCTTGCTCTGGGCAGCAAAACAGGCTCTCCTGCCAGAGCCAGCTCCTGCCCCAGGGCCTCTGCACTTACTTCTGTGGGCAGATTCTTCCCTATATCTTCAGTAGTGCCCTCCTTCACCTCCCTTAAGGCCTTACTTCAAACACTATCCTGATTCACCCACAGCTAACCTCCCTCCTCCTCCACCTCATTATTCAGAATAAGACATCAGTGCCGTGTGTTGCTCATCTCCCCCACTAGACCACATGTCCCACAAAGACAAAGGCTTGGTTCACTGCCTTATCTTCATCACCTAGAATCTCCCAAGACACACAGGACCACAATAACTATCTACTGACCACTCCAGACACACAAACAGACATTCCTTTCTCATTCCTAACCCTATGAGCATCCCCAAACAATCAGTTCCCCTATCTAGGAAGCACAACTGCTCACAATCCAAAATGAAAAGGCAGCACACCTTTAATCCCAGCACTCAGGAGGCAGAAGCAGAGGCAAGCAGATCTCTGTGAGTTAAGAGGCAAAACCTGGTCTACATGGTGAGCTCTAGGCTAGCCAGGGATACACAGTGAGACCCTATCTTTTATTAAAAAAGAAAAAACCCAGAACAGTAGCACAGGCCTGTGATCCCAGCGTGCTTGGGAGGTGGAGGCAGAGAGTTTGAGGCCAGCTTGAGCTACATGTGGAGATCCAATGAATAAAAAAAAAAAAGAATAAAAAAAAAATAGAAAACAAATTTTCTCCCCTTTAGCCAAAGCCCAAAAACAAAGTCTGGAAGTGCATAAAAATTCTAGCCAAGGGCAGAGAACTTAGTAAAAGCAGAAAGCTACCAATCCAAACATGAAGCTCATGAAGATTGCCTATCACTCGGCACTTCCAGAACCTTACATCTGCTATGGAAGTAAGTCCTCACAAAGAGGCAATGATTTCCTTTGCTTTAAGTTTGAGAGGCTGTTTCCTAGGACCCAAAAGAGGATACAGTGAAGCTGGAGGCCAGTGACTCTGGGAGGAGGCCATGGTGGCAGGCAGGGTGAGCAGTGAGATATGAGGTGGGGTGCTAGGGACTCACACCCAGGCCTTGAGCCAGGCAGCCAATTTGCAACATCCACTAGAAGACCGAGGTCATTTCCTCACTGACTTATGGCATGGGGAGAGTCTGTATTCACTGCCATGTATGTCAGCCAGGCCAGACATTTGGGGGGCAGGCACTCTGCTACTCTCAGCCTGCACCCTAGAATGAACACGTGTGAGTTACGTTCAAATTAAAGCAAGGGCATCACTGTGAGCCAGGCATGGTGGCACATACCTAGAATCCCAGCACTTGAGAGGTAGAGGCAGGAGGACCAAGGGTTCCAGTCATCCTAGGCTCCACAGCAAGTTCAAGGCCAGCCTGGGTTATATGAGACCTTGTCTCAAAGAAACAAAAAATAAACAAAAAAGGCAATACTATGTTATTGTCAACAACTTCGACAGGGGTGGGGTGTGTGCTGCTCTTGCAGAGGACAGCCTATAGCTCCAGCTCCAGGGGATCTAATGCCCTCTTCTGGCCTCTGAGGGCAAATGCACTCTCATGCACAAGCCCACACACAGACACAACACATACACATAATTAAAAATAAATCTGTCTGGCATGGTGGCAGATAGCTTTCTTTAATCCCAACACTTGGGAGGTAGAGCAGGCCAATCTCTATGAGACTGAGGCCAGCCCAGTCTATATAGTGAGTTCCAGACCAGGGAGACCCTGTCCCAACCCCCCCAACCCCAAAATTAAATCTTAAAAAGTGGGGGGCTACAGAAATGGCTCAGTGATTAAAAACGACTGCTGCTCTTGCAGAGGACCTGAGTTTTATTCTCAACACACAGGAATCTACCTATGGGGAGGCACTGAGCCTGGGGAAGCAAGAGCTCTGTGGCTAGCCTGGGTCAGAACCTAGCACACCTGTGAGCGCCTGACAAAGAAAGGTTTCCATATATAAGTTGGGCATGGTACTATATATCTGTGATCCCAGAACTCTGTGAGGCCAAGGCAGGGGGATGCTGAATTTCAGGCCAGTTAAGGTTACATAGTCATCCCATCTGGAGGTTGGGAAGACAGATGAACATAAACTGGGCTCTGGTGGTACAGACCTGTAATCCCAGCACTCAAGAGGCTGAGGCAGTTGGGCTGGTCAGATGTCTCAGCTGGGTATAGATGTTTGCCACCAAGCCTAAAGACCTGAGTTCAATCCCTGGATCCACATGGTGGAAGGACAAAACTGCCGCCCACAAGCTGTCAGTGCTCCCTCAGTGGTAGAGGACCTGCCTAGAATCCGCCAATGAGGGGCTGGGGTGTGGCACAGCATTACAGCACTTTGCCCAGCATACAAAAGGCTACAGGTTCAATTCCAAATACCAAAGAAAGAAAAAAAAAAGGCAGACTTCCCTGTGCCACTAGACTTGGCATCTGTCACAATACCCAGGGTGAGAAACTAGAGAGCAGCGAAGGGAGCAGAGGTCAGGACTCAGGCCCCCAGGGGGAGCAAGGAGGAGACTCACATGCTGTCGGTCTTCTCAGCATCCCACTCCCGCCGCCACTGGCCAGTGGGCTTGCGATGTCGCTGCAGCCGCTCCTGGTCAATCTTCTCCCTCTCCTGCTTCCAGCGCAGGTATTCTGACCGCTCACGGCCCGTCATAGACATTGTCATGTCGCCTCCACTGGCCAGGCCAGCCCTACGGCCCTGCCCCACCACAAGCAGTCAGACCCCAACTCCCCTCCCCCACCACAAGCAGTCAGGCCCAAACTCCCCTCCCCCACCACAAGCAGTCAGGCCCAAACTCCACTCCCCACCCTCCCACTAGATACAAAGGTAGAGCCACTCACTGTTCAAGAGTGCACAAGGCAGAGGTAACAAACAGGTGGCTGGGTGGCCTTCTCAGAAAGGTTCTACCTCCTATTTATATATCTATTTATTTACTTATCTATCTTTGGTTTCAGACAGTCTGAATCTAGTCCAGGGTGGCGATTTCAAACTCACTATGGAGTTTAGGTTGACTTTAAGGTCCAGATCCTCCCACCTCCACTTCCTAAGTACTGGGTCTGCCCATATTTTTTTCTTTCTTTCTAGAATTAAGCATTTACATTTCTTTTTTTCTCCCCATCTTTGCATGTGCGTGTGTGTGCATGTGTGTGTGTGTGTGTGTGCGCGTGTGTAGGATGCACACATGTGCAGATATGTGTGGAGACAGTCTCCTTGTAGCCCCAGCTGTCCTGGAACTCACTACACTATGTAGACCAGGCTGGCCTCGAACTCACAAAGATCCGCCTGCCTCTGCCTCCCGAGTGCTGGGATTAAAGGTGTGTGCCACCACACCTGGCCTCATCTTCCTTTTTTTAAAATTTATTTTGTATGTGTGTGTTTATATGTGTGCCACATGTGTGCAGGTTCCTGAAGAGGCCAAAAGAGGGCATCTGATGCCTTAAACCTGCATGTTGTTGTGAGCCACCCAAAGTGGATGCTGGTCCTCTGGAGGAGCATTAAAGTGCTCCTAACTGCTGAGCCATCTCTCCAGCCCCCTCCCTCAGCTTTCTTAATTAGCACCCCACTGCTTATCCTTTGGGGTGGTGACATTTGGTAAAACTCAGCCTCTAATTAGACTTTCAGCTATTGACTCCCACAGGTCAGCTTTGTCTTAGAACTATTCTCCCTAACCAGTAATCCCAGCACTTGGGAGGCTGAAGCAAGGGGATCAAGAATTCCAAAGCCTGCTTAAGCTACATAGAAACCTTGTCTCAAAATAAAAATAAAAAACTGACTGAGGATGTAGCTAGTATGTGCAAGGCCCAGGATTCTACTCTAGCACTACAACTAAAAATAAAAAAGCGCAAATTCAAATCCAGCCATTTGCTGGAGGCAGAGGCCAGCAGACAGGTATCTTTATTATGTATGTCAGGCCAATCTGATACACATAATAATACTATGTCTCAAAAAAGAAACACTGGTCCCTATGGGCAGGTCTCTGTGAGTTCCATGCTAGCATGGTCTACATAATGATACTGTGTCTCAAAAGGGGGGGGGGGGGGGGGGGCAGAATCACTACCAAATGTGGTCACCCAAGTATTTGGGCTGTATGGTGAATTCCAGGCCAACCTGTGTGAGCCTGTCCAAGAGTCCAAAAATAAAGCAAATAGACACTGAGCCCAACATTGAAAGCAAGGCCTGGTCTACCAGTCCCTGGCCCAGTGCACACATGTCACAGGAGGATCCTGAACACCACACGGGGGGCTGCAGCACCCACCTGCCTCTCATGCTCCAGGCCACAGCGCACCCGCTCAAAGTCAGAGCCCCCCCAGTTGCGCCCATGCCGGCGGCTGCCCTCCCGGCGATCCCGCTCTGGCTCCTCCAAGGGTCCACTCCTACGCCGGGGGTCATCAAGGAAGTTGCGCACTGGGTTGGGCTCGAGCACCCCTTCCTGCAACAACAGGACAGGGGGGTGGTCAGGCTGGCCGTGCAAGGTGCCCCCCACACCCCCCTTCCCTGGTACTAACCCGTTGGTTGCGCTCATACTCTGCTATCTTTTCCATTTCCTCATTCATCTTCTCGATGTTCTGCCTGCGTCGCTCTTCCCACTCCTGAAGGAACAAGACGGAGTACCGGGGGTCAGAAAGAACCATACGACTAACGGTGCAGAAAAAGGTAGCAGGGCGGCCTGAATTCTGGGAAGGGCAGGTAGCAAGGGGGCCTGACCTTAAATCAGGAATATATACGAAGCTGGAAATTCAGCAAACCCCACTACCACAATAGTAATGACAGTCACCGCAGCAGGAGCTTGGCAGGTAAATAGTGACCACCACTGTCCACTCTCCCCTCTCCCCCACTGATGGGTTTTAGAAACTCATGGAACCATCCAGCTAGATGGATCTTTTCATTTCCCAGCCTCCTCTGTGGGTGTGTGTGGCCAAGTTCTTACCAACAAAAATGAGAGACCTGCTTGACTGTGTAACCACTACCACATGAACAATGCTGCACTGGAGACAATCAGGCTGTGGACCCGGCCAGGCCTCCTCACTCACAACACTCATCTCAGCACACAAGACAGAAATAAACTCCCTCTCTATTGAGGCCACAGCATCTTAGGGTCCTCTGAGAGAGAGAGAGAGAGAGAGAGAGAGAGAGAGAGAGAGAGAGAGAGAGAGAGAGAGAGAGCGCGCGTCGAGGGCCCTAGGTGTGCATCCACACACCAGCGCCTAGAGGACCTTAGGTGTCCTTCCACAGATGCCATCGACCCTCTTTTGAAACAAGGTGTCTCCTTGGCCTGGAACTCACCATGAAGGCTAGACTGGCAGGCCATCAAGCCCCAGGGCTCCACCTGTCTCCACTCCCAACCACTGGGATTAGAAACATGCAGATTATAAGCATGCACCACCACAACTGGAACTTTTTGTGGGTTATGGGGGAGCAACTCAGGCCCTCAAGTACTTTAGCAATTGAGCCACCTCCCCAGCCCTTGGGGTCTTTTTTACAGCAGCTTAGCGAACCCATGTAGCACTCACATTTCTCATGTGCTCCTGCTGAGGCCAGTACTGCCTCCTGGCACACCATGCTTATAACAGCTTTTGGATCTAATCACCATTTCCATGTGAGAGCAAGAATCAAAACCCCCACCAAATGCCAGTCTGCACCCACTTCTATGGCAGGCCATGAGCCACCAAGCCAGACAACCTTCTGCCCCAGCCATTCGCCTACTACTCAGGGCAGGGGAAGCAGTTCCACTAAGCCACCACTCCTTGCACATGAATCTGGGCACAGAGACAGTGAGCTCAAAGCACACACACAAGGAGACAGAAGGACAGTGCCCCACAGACAGGTGGGAGACAGAAACAGGCAAACCCACATCAGAGCCTGAAAGAGAGGCAGAGAGCTGGTTAGGAGGAGAAGCAGGCAGGTAGGGAGAGTGCAAGGTAAAGAGGTGAGGGGGCAAAGACCAAGGATCAAGACAGGGCCCATCTAAGCAGGAATGGGGAAAAAGAAAGAGGGAAATAAATGAATCCGCTGGACACAGCATGAAGGCCTGTCATCCCAGCTACTGGGGAGCTGGCCAGGAAAACTGCAAGTTCAAGGCTAGCCTAAGCAACTTAGTGAGTTAAGATCCTGTCTCAAATTAAAAAAAAAATAAGAGCTGAGGATGCAGCTCAGTGGTAAGGCGCTTACCTAGTATATAGGAGGCCCTAGGTTCAATCCCCAACACCAGAAAAATGAATGAATGAATGAATGAATGAATGAATGAATGAAAGAAAGGGGGCTACAGAGAGACCCTGTCTCAAAAAGACTGAAAAAGAAAGGAAGAAAGAAAGAAAGAAAGAAAGAAAGAAAGAAAGAAAGAAAGAAAACCATAGGACAGAGAACCTAGACTCAACCATTAAGGCATGTCTGGCGCCTACCTTGGACTTGCGATCGGAGGCTGAAGTATCTCCTGCCCCTAAGAGATGAGGGGATCCCCGGCCCCGGCCCCTCCGGCCCCGGCCCCCAGCTCCCCCTCGAGGCTGCTCCCCGGCACCATCCTCCCAGTTTCGGGATGCCCGGCCCACGCCTGCCCGGCCTCCCTTCTGGGGGTGGGTCCGGCCCCCTCTGCTGGCCCCTGAGGGCCGAGGGGTCCCAGGATTCCTCCTAGAGGGGCCCAGGCTCTTCTCCTGGAAGGGAGAGAAAGAAAAAGTCAGTCACAGGCCAGAGAGATGGGGCACCCCAGGCCCAGGGGCAGCTGTGGGGACAGGGTCCCAGGCCTCAGCTCCCTCCCTCCTCCCATCCTGAGGACTCCCAGAATGCTGTACTCTCTACCTCCACTGCCATGTTTTCCTTCTCCATGGACCGGCTCTTCCGGGGGGCTGTCACTGCCACACCCTCCAGTTCAGCTTTTTTCCGGTCCTCCTCAATTTCCTGTGAACAAATCCAGGGAAGTGGGGAGTCAAGGAGCCTGCCGACAACTGGACTCCCACAGTCCCCTGCATTCCTCCTGAGTCTGGCCCTGATCAGGCTTCTCTCCAAAGCTTTAGCTAAGAGAGCGGCACAGGGTATTCCTTCAAACCCCATTACTCTGCTCTGCTCCCCCAAAGCCCCCACTGTGCAGCGCCCATCTGTAAAAGTCAAATCCTTCCCTGCCATCCATCCACAACCCTATAGCAGGTGGGCCACTCCTCTTACTCGCCTGCTTCTCGCCTGCTTGCTGTTTCCTGGGGCTCAGACCTGCCAGCAGCTCCTCTGCCAGAGTTCCTTAACCCTGTAACCCCTCAGGTCCCAAATGTCTCACCAGCTCCCCATCACTCTCTGCTCTCATCCCCTGCTTGCTGGAGTATGGTGCTACCTGCTGACCAGTTCATTGATGCAACACCCCCACCCCCCCAGCCTATAATGCTACCTGGCACATAAACCCGATTGTTTTAAATGAATGAACACATGAAGGATGAGTCAATGAGGCCCACCCACCTCCCAAGCTGCAAAAAGAGGCAGCCCAACCACCTATTCTTGGGCCCTGCCCTGGAACCCCCCATCCTACCCCATCCC